CCCTCCTTCTCTCTCTCTTCCTCCTTCTCCTCCTCCTCCCTCAGGCTTAACCTGTCTGTTGGACTGAGGCCAAACTGTCTTTGAAGGGGCACTTTCAGCAAGAATTTGAAATCCAAACCAGAAGTAACCTCATAATTTTGATAGGAATCACTAAACAGTTCTCACAAAAGGAAATAATACCACTGTAAAGCTCTGTGAATATTTTTTTCTGACACCTTTTGACAAAACTGGACTTCAGGAATGCTTTAGTTTCTGTAAAGTTTATTTCTAATCGTTCATTTCTTTTTTATTAAGCATTGATTGTATATCAGAACATTAAGGAAGAGATGGATCAGTTGCTAATAGCCCTTGCTGCACTTTCGGAGACCTCAGTTCACTTTCCAGACCCCACATGCTGGACTGCAACCCATCTTAACTGCAGTTCCAGGGGAGCCAGGGCCTTCTTCTGGTCTCCTTGGACACGTGAAGTGCACTTACATACATGCAGACAAGCAAAACAGCTCCTAGGGCTGTTGGTATAGCTAAGACAAAGGCTAGAAGGTCCGTCACAGATGAGGGACTTTGTGACAAGACTTGGTCAGCTTTGAATTGCACTCAGTCTTTTACCCCTAGTCTGTAGCTCTTCTCTCCTGAGGTCATTTGATTGCCTGTTGATCTATTTTGAGCAGAGCCTAAAGGCTGAAGCTGTGAGCTGAATGCTAAACAATTAATTATTTGACAAATGTTGATATGTAAAAGGCATTAAGAACCATGCAAGTATGAGGGTATTGAACATTGAGAAGGCTCAGCAGATAACCCCGTGGTCAAGGTTGACTACTGGTTTAGATCCCCAGGTCCTGTACAGCAGAAGGACAGAACCAACTCCCTTATGTTGCTCTCTAATGCAGTGCCTATACACACATACAGAATGAATAAATAAATGTAATTAAAAGAACATTGGGAATTTTGCACATTTGTGAGCCATTTTATTAATTATAAGAATTAATTGCTATGAAGGCTGTGTCTTCATGATTTTGTGGTTTATTTATTTATTTTTTTATGGACCCATAACAAATCTTTATATTTTCTGGAATATTATCCCATCTGTTATTATGTAGCAATGGTTTCCTGTTGTATTAATTATAGCTTCCACCAACCAGATGTTTCACGTGTTATGTGCATGGGAAGTGTTGGGACCATTCTCTACTTTGTAGAAGAAGAGAAAATCTGGTCCTTGGGACTAAGTTTTATCACAACCTTCGAAACTCTGGTTGGACTGTACAATATAGGGACACTCTCATCTATGGAGTAAAACGGCCAATTTCCTTAAAGACTCACAGTTCTGTTTTTGGCAAAATCTTCAAATTGGCAAAATCATTATAGCACATGCTTACATGTGCATAACTAGTTGAGACCTTGGTCTGATAGACTTTGGGAAAGCATGGTGCTCCCATAAAGACCCAAACTCCTTCCTAAGGAAATAGCTTTCCCCACGTACTCACAGCAGAAAGTCACTGTACAGATGGCTTAGCACTGTGGCTTATTCTTTCTGAGAAGTACTTGCTGTTGGAACTGGTGTTCACAGGAGATAAGACCCCAGGACAGCTAGAGGATGGAACTGGCAGGATCGACGCATATGCAGAGGGAGGCTTAAATGGAAATAGAATCAGCTTGGTCAGTCAGTCTCAGCCTTGAAGGAGATAGATAGTATTTCAAACTGAACAACTTGCTGGTGGTGGCATACACGCCTTTAATCCCAGCAGTTGGGAGGCAGAGGCAGGTGGATCCCTGAGTTTAAGGCCATCCTGGTCTACAGGATGAGTTCCAGGACAGCCAAGGCTACATGGAGAAACAAAAACAACAAACAAACAAATTCCACAAAACTGAAATACTCAAGCTTTAAGAAATGTTTAAAAAAAGCAAACTCTTAAAGAGTATTACTAAGTTAATGAGTTACAAAAGTAGTTGTCATTTTTCTGGGTATCTTCAGTTCCAGGGTTGGTCAACTATGATCTAATACACTGTTGTAGTGAGAACACTCGTATATGAGTAGGCCTCTTCCACAAGATGCAGACAGTCTTCCGTCAAGATGCTACAAAATGCTGGGCTTGAATAGGACAGGTTTCCATAACCTATTCGGAGGCACAGACAAACGCTACTCTCCTGATTCTTTCTCTAGACCAGTATGTAGGCTTCAGTATGCCAACGCCCTTGGTTCTCAACCTTCCTACTGCCGGGACCCTTTAATACAGTTCCTGATGTTATGGTGACCCCTAATCATTAAATCATTTTTGTTGCTACTTCATAACTGTAAATTTGCTACTGTTATGGATCATATGAAAGTACTTTTTGTGACAGGGGTTGCCAAAGGAGTCGAAACCCAAAGACTGAGATTCACTGCTCTAGACCTTTCATGTGGGCACGATGGGGGGAGGGGAGGGAACTTGGCTCCTCCCCACTACTGGGTTTGCAGAGGTTCTAGCTCCATGAAGCAATACAATTTAATGTCAAATGGAATGCATCATTCATAAAACACAAGACTAACTAGCATGACCAGCCCCATATGTCTAAATATTATGACGCCAGAGGCCTCTGATGGACGATCCCTCCTAACTCATTAGAATACATCTACAAAAAAATGTTAAATTAAATATGTTTACGTTTTGAAAAAAAAAAAATTCTCCCAAACACCAAAAGCATCGAAAACTATGGACCTACAAGCCTGGCTTAATCCTCTGCAATCTTTCATGAGATAGCAACCATGCACCCCATGCAACCATGTGTCTTCAGTTTTTAAGCAGTGTTTTACAGGTCAAAACTTTCCATGTACAAGTTACATGCTCTAAAAAGAAAGTAGATTTTTGGTCTCTAGCACATGCATTTGAATCCCAGCTCCAACTTCTTCAGTTCTACCCGTGGGTAATTCTGGTTTACGCAGAGTAACTGAAGGACGCCGAAGGGCAGTGGTTTGTGGTGGCTCCTGGTTGGTAGCGCACAGTCTCTGCATTATTTTTGAAGGTCTCCGTCTTGAATTGATAGTCTTGTGCTATGAGAAGGGGAAGGGGCGGAAGAGACACAGATTGCCTGGACTTCCACCCTTGTGTTTTAATAAGCACTAAAATGTTTATATTGTTTCGCTTCACAGCTAATCAAAACGGAAGCACAGGGAGGGGGGATCCACCTGGCCAAGATCACACAGCAGGCCAGCGGGGAAGGCTTCATTCCAAGATAGGTGAGCAGCTGTTCCCTCAATCTTCGCAGACCATGAAAAGTCATGGATGTAACCTAAGAGCAGCTAGTGGCCTCTTCCCTTAGCATATTTCTTTGCAGATTAAACAATCTAGGTATATGTGACTGGAGATATAGCTCAGAGGTTAAGAGCACTCTCTGCTTTCCCACAGGTCCTGTCTTCAATTCCCAGCAACCACAGGGTGAATCACAAGAACATCTGGAGTATTCATATAGTATGAGCAGTTTAGAAGTATGAGGCAGGAGGATTTCCATGAGTCAGAAGCCAGCCTGGGCTACACAGCAAGACAAAAAGACCTTATATAACAGCAACAACGCAACAAAAACAAAATGGAGGAGAAGCTAGACCTGCCCCTGCCATCCCCCCACTACACAGATGGGTATTCCAGTACTCCAGCATCTGAAGAAAGGGGAGCAAGCGTTCCCTGCCAGCCTAGATTACACAGGGAGATGCTGAGAAAAAAAAAAAAAAAAAAACCAAACAAACAAAAACAAAACAAAACAAAACAAAAAAACAATTGAACACACAAAACCTAGGGGATCAAAAGGGATACAGCACAGGATTAATTTTGAAGACCATGAAGAGAACATAAAAGAACTCAGCAGAAACTAAAAGAGTATGGTAATTCTCCAGAAAAATCTATCTAGATGGACAAATTCCAGGAATCGTTTTGACAACCCTGGTGTCCCAAGAGCAAAGCTTATAATTACAAAATCTATGTGAGTTATGTCAAAGGGCGTTTGTAGAACGGGCAGAGAATATGCATGATCTGTGCTGCTTCCTAGGGCTGTTGGAATAATTAAGAAAACTACCAGAAGGTCCATCACAGATGAGGGACTTTTTACAGAACTTGACGCATGGTCAGGTTTGACTTGCACTCAACTCCTTTCTTCCCAGTCTGTAGCTCTTCTCTCCTGAGGGTCATTTGATTGCATGTGATTATTTGATCAGAGCCCAAAGGCTGGAGCTGTGAGTTGAATGCTAAACAATGAATTATTTCACAAACACTGAAATCTAAAAAAGCATAGAGGGCTATGCAAGGACGAGGACACTATTAATACAGACTTTTTCCAAAGGAGAGCTACAGAAAGAAAGAAGGGATGAAGGAAGGGAAGGAGAAAGAAAAGGAAGGAAAGGAAAGGAGGAAGGAAGGGAGGGAAGGAAGAAGGAAAGGAGGGAGGAAGCCCCACCTTCATTCTTACAGAGGTTAACAGTTCCCTTTTAAGATACAAAATGTACCAAATGGCTACAGCTACTCCCTTTAACACTAACACTTTTTTTCTTTGAAGATCAGAGTCAGGAAATTGTGTAGCTTTGTGAACACCCCTCCCTTTCTGCTAGGGACCAAAATGCCCGCTGTGTCTGATGTCACAGACAGTGCAAGCTGCGACCAAACTGTGTTGATTTTTTGCCTCCCCCAAGCTAAGCACTGTGAAGGAGAATCCCTCACAGGCTCCCGCTTCAGCTCCCGCAGCTTTTCCAAACAAACTGGGGCGGGATGGGAGTGTCTTCTTGGCTCTGGAAATCAATCCTCCTACCTTGTCCTGAAGCCACCCGCCTCACTTTCCCGGCCCTCCCTTCACAGTGATTTTCCTGTCCTGGACTCCCGGCGAGTGCAAGCGGCTGGTGAGCCGCCCCGCCCTAAAGGTAGGAGCCTGGAAGCGCCGCTGCCGGCCCCGGGGGGTCTTGTAGCTCTGCCCACCCTCCCTTCCCCAGTCTCCGGGCTGCACTTTTCGGCGCGAACTTGGGGGAGGTGGCCCCCGTGCATCTGGCGCCGGCGACAAGGAGGAGCTTCCCGCGGCGTCGCACGCAGCCGCCGGGGACGGGGAGCCGGACGCGGGGGGCAGCGAGGGGACCGGTGGGCGTCTGAGCGCTGCGCTCCGCCGCCCCGACCCGTCCTGGGAGAAGGGGTTCGGTCCGTGCCTCCTCGCTCAGGCTTCCGCCCGCCGCCCGCCCGGGGACCCGATGCGGCACACGTCGCGGGACAGACGGAAGCGCGCTGCGGACAGCCCCGCACATGCCCCCGCGGTCGCCGTGCCCGGGCCTCGGCCGGTAACTCTCTGCGGCTCGTCGCGCTGCTGCTCTGCTTTGGCGGCCAGGGGTGCGGGGAGACTGCCTTCCCCACCCAGCTTGGGGATTCCGGGGTGCTGCCCAGACCCTCTGGCTCTGCAGCCGCTGGGGAGGAGGGAAGGGGACCCCGCGCGCTCTCCTCCGTCCCCGGCCAGCCTCTGGGGCGGTTCGGGAGCCGCAGGGCCCTCACACCCTTCAGGCAACCTGGTATGACCGGCCAGGACCTTTCCTGGAAGGTTCTGGAGCTGCTGGGGAGGGCCCCGGGAGAGTAGCGTCCAGGGGCGCGGGGACCCTCCTCCCTTGATCACCCCCGAATCTGTGCGCAGGGAAGGCGACCCGGGTGCATGGTTCCTCGCTCACCATTGTTTGTGAAACGGTCTGTAAGCTAGTCTGGAAGGTTCTCTTTTACCATACAGTGTTTTCCAAGCAATCCCCCTTGCCACAATTACACTAAACCTAGTAAAATACCGAGGCAGCTTGGAGCAAAGGGCGACAGTAAGAAAACTGCAGTTTTGGCTGCTGCTGGGAATTTTTAACAGAGGAGAAACTTGATGTTTTGCGGTTTTTATTGTTTGTGTGGTTTTTTTTTTTTTTTTTTGCCTCGGAAGCTCACATGGATTTTAGCTCCCTTCTTGTGCACTGTTATTTTGGGTTAAAAGAAAAATGTATAAAAAGCGATTTCTAGAAACTAAAGAAACTCGAAGCGCCTTTTAAGATCTTTAGAGGAAGCCGGGAGGAGGACAGGCTGGAGTGAAGAATTTTCTTTAAAGGTAATGTTTAAAGATTGTGTGGGGGTAGCCTATTAGAAACCACACATTCCAAATTCAGGAGTCAAATTTGTTAAGAGGACCACCTTAGTGCCATGATTAGTGGATGGCTTAGAAAATAGATTCTTCGTGGCTCCCTTGCGCGTTACTGTTGACCTCCAGGCCTCTCTAACACTTCCTCAGCTCTCCATGGCGGCCTCTTTTAGGCTCTCCTGACTATTTGACTTTCCGGGTCTTCAAACTCAATTTTCCCTTCCAGTTTGTGACCGTGTAGCTATCTTTCCCCCCCCCCCCTAAAGATTTACTTATTTTTACTTTATGTTCATTGGTGTTTTGCCTGCATGTATGTCTAAGTGAGGCTGTCAAACCCCGGAAACTGGAGTTACAGACAGCCCTGTCAGTGCTGGTAAGGGGACCCAGGTCCTCTGGAACCAGTGCTCTTAACCGCTGAGCCATCTCTCCAGCCCCTAGCTATCTTTTTCTTTACAAGGTGGTGTTAACTATTTGGGAAGCTCTTAGGAAGGTGCTTAAGGTTCTGTTGCCTCCCTTGCATGTCACCCAAGGATTGCTTTTCAAACCAAGATCAGAAACAAACAAACAAACAAACAAGCAAGCAAAACCTCCTGAGTTTGACTTTGAATGAGACTATCTGCTTCAGAGACTCCTTAGATAAGGGCAGTTTTGGATCAAGGGAACTTCTATGGAAAATATTTGTATGAATCTGATCTGTTTTTCCAAGCTGCCTCTAAGGCTAATGTAGACTGGGAAGAGTGATCATTCACTGCAATTGTGAAAACCTTTCAGTAGACTCATGGCAGGTTCCTTTTTATTTTTATTTTTCTGTCCAAATCAATGCAAACAGAATGTGAGAACCAAAGAGTAGAAGGCCTGACAGAAGGATGCAATCAAAATGCACCAGTCTGTGTTTCGTGAAATTGTAATTTCTCAAGTTTCTCATTCCAGAACTCAGAGGCAGAGAACCGAATTCCACAGCCCTTTTCTTCTGTTAGAGATATTTCTGTGTTCTACATTGTGAAGCACAAATGGGTAATGCCCTGCTTCCTACATTTCCAAGATAAGCCTCGTCAGCCCACCTCGAAGATTCCAGATGGCTTTCGTGGAAAGGAGGACTCTTTACAGAGCTGGGGACAGGCATCTAGAGGATGTCCACTGAAGAGGGGATGGCAGCATGGACTGTGTATAGAGTGCTCACGTTGATCCCTGCTGTGTTTTCACACGGCATTTCACTCAATATTCCCAGCAAGGCTGAGACAAAAACCAAAACAAAACAAAAAAAAATTAGCCTCATTTTAAATCTGAAAGAAATGAAAAGGGCCCTAAGTTGAGTTGCAGTGACCCCTGTGAAAGTCTGTCTCTGTCCATCTTACATTTTAGGGAGGTCTGTCAAGTGACACAGTGTGCATTCTTCACAAATTCTTCCGTTCTTTGTTCACACACACGCACAAACACACACACACAGAGACAGAGAGACCTGCAGACACTAGACACATATGTGCACACACAGTCACAGAGAGACAGACACACACACAACATGCACACAGACAGACACGGACAAACACATATACAGACACAGACAGACAGACATACACACAGACAGACAGACACACGGACAAACGCATAGACACAGAGACAGACATACACAGATGACACACAGCACTTACAGCTTGATCTGGTTGTTAGCCACTTCCTAATTACCCTCACTCCACAGGCTTCCTGGAGAGATGGTCAGTACGCTTTCCATTTGACACCTTCCGACTTCCCTTTGTTTCTATCTTCTGCTGCGTTTTAAGTGCCCTTGGATATACTATATCTGGCCTGCCTAGAGAGTCGGCTCTCTCCAGTGGATTATATTCTGAACTTTCCTACTTCTAAAAGTATAGTTTTCCTGAAGCTCCTGCTTCCTTCAAAGGCCAGCTGTGTCTTGCTTGTCTGTAGTCTTTCAGAGTCACAGTCTGATCCTCCGAAATAAATCGAAGGTTTTTCCTGTGTACGCCTACTGCCGTTGATAATGGTGTACTTCACAGTTCCAAGTTAACTCTTATGATCTGAAAATGTATGGGAGACAGAGAGAACACTGCTCAATGGGTAAAGGTTTGCTGTCAAGCCTGGTGGGAGGAGAGGACTGATCCCAAAAGTTGTGTTATGGCATGGAGCAAGCTTAGCGTGTGGGATAAAATAGTACACAGGACATTACATGTGTCAGTTCTTAAGGTTCCATATCAGCTTGTCAGAAACAGGGTTGGTTCATGTTTTGTGGGTGGCAGGAATTCTCTCCCAATGGAGATACCTTTAATTGTAATCACTTCAGACTTGATCAAGAATCTGACTGTCGTGCCCCCCAGGTTGAGGAAGATCAGAGAGAGAAGTTATGAGGGTGAGAGAGAATAAGGAACAGTAAGATCTGTTTTCTTCCATTTCTTCTGAATTTCTTGGTCACCAAACTAAGAATTGCTGGGCTATCTCGCCTTGCCACACTTTCTGATTGGATGCCAGGGGATTTCCTTTTACAGGAAGTTGGGAAAAAGCTCGGGCAAAACAACCAGCTCCTAGGAAGTTTTCCTTATCAAGAATACTTTAAAAAAAACAAAAACAAAAACAAAAAACACTGCCCCCAAAAAACAACAAAAAACCCCCCAAAAACAAAAAACAAAACAAAACAAAAAAACGGTGAAAGAATTCCGCTCTCCCAGTCTCTTTTTTTCATATATATGTCCCAAGATAAAGTATATAAATGACATCATTTTTTTTTCAGTAGCATGTAAACACTTTGAGACTCTTTAATCATTTTTTTATCTTTTTATTTTTTATGCTTTTTATCTCATTGAGAATGGAAGGATTTCTTTTTTAACATGATGAGAAATAATGTCTCCAGAGAAGGTGCAAGATAGCTAGTTATTTCCCCAAAAATATAGGGACATTTCTGCCTTCCAGGCTTGTGGAAGTAGTGCTGGAGTTGGTAGAGAGGGAAGGGAGCTGCCCTCGGAGGCAAGGCAAGAGAGGAAAGGAGTTTCCAATGAATCCTGGATGACTTGTTTCATGGTCTTTCATAAGGTAGCCCTACCTTATGAGAGGTGCTATTCTAAATTCTTCATGGACGAAAAATATAACTTAGTATGCCCATGTAACAAGAAGTGTTCTTGGAGGATAGAGGTGATGCGATTGGGTGAGATGTGATTGAGGAATGAGCCGGTCAGGTGGAGAGCAGAAGGAAGGGGATTCCAGGAAGAGGAAACAGCAAGTACAAAGGTTCAGGGACATGCATCGATTTGGAGTGTTTAGGAAAGGAAAGCCCAGAATGGGAAGAGAGGCTGGGTAATGTGTAGCCCTAGGAAAGTGCAGAGTGGAGCGGGAGATGGAGTTCAAGATACAGAAGGGGGACAGATTTTGTGATGCCATCAAACCTCTTTGGAAAGGTGCTGGATATACTTAATTGAAGCTGCCATTAGCCACGAATATGCCGCGCACTGCACAGAATTGCAGCCTCTGGCGCTTACTCAATGGCAGTCACGGAGTTTCCCCTTCATCCCAGCCCAGTATCCAGGCATATATATATATATGTACGTATATATATATATACACACAGGGGCAAGGTGCAGAGAACCTGCACAGGATTCCTCACAGCCTCTGAAGACTCACATGCTTTCACATTTTCTTTTACATTCATGCATAAAACTGTATTACCGTGGTTCCCCAACTATTCTGTGGACTGAATATTTCATGTCTCCTTGAAGCCTTTGTGTTGGCTCTTAACATCTGAAAACAGATAGCAGAAATTAGTTATCCAAATCAAGTCCTAGCTGAAAACAATAGGCAGGAGAACCGCAGCTTGGAGAGGCACTATTCTAAATAGCACAAAGGCCTTGGCCTCCCTGAATTTGTTTCTTAGCCTCTTTGTAATCTGTCATCTGTGTTCTTTGTACAGAGGTCTTGTCTCTTCGTCGTGGTAGACCTGTGGCAGTTCCTTCTCCATGCTTCCCTAGAATGGAGCTCTTGAAAATGTGAGAGTACTGCACAGATCTAGGATTTATTATTTCTGATTAATTAGTAGTACTGGCTTATTAGAGATGTTCAGACATCTTGTAAACCTTCAATTATTCTTTTAATTCCAGGAGGTCTCATGTGACGGCATATTGCTCTCTGGAAAAGACTGGTCTGGATTTTAGAGAGAAAACTGCTTTTTGAGATTCTTTGATA